CATTCCAAAGAATGTGAGAGGACAGGTTGCCTGCAAAATGCCGGGACCCAGGACCCTGTGGGAGCCTTGTCTCTCTCTAGCCAGTCTAACAATCTAAAAGCTGAGCAGAGAGTCTAATTTTTTTTCAGGGTGAGGGGAAAAGTATAGTGTTTGAGTGGCACTTTTCATGTCTGGCATTCATCGGGCTGAAACCTCGCTCGCAATTGGTGCTTGACGCTTGGAAGGTTGCGCAAATGTCCAGCAGACGCGACAGCAGACGCAACAGCAGTTCAAACTGTGGCTCTCTTAGGTGCTCAGGCATGAAACTGTGCAGCTCACACACTATACTTTTCCGCTCACACTGAAAAAAAATTAGAGGGAACATTGATGGCAACTGCTGTTTGTTTGAAGGTGCTTTCTTCTGCTTGTGTACTGCACATGAGACACTGCCAGCAACCTATGAAGCATAGCAAAATCCTGCTGCTTCTTTGAAGTGATGGAGCAGATGTTTTAGGGCTCAAGTTGAATGAGAGAGAAAGTTCGTTCTTTGATAAACTATTTTAGCGTGCATATTCAGGTTGAGATTCCTCACTACCAAAATATCAGTAGAAAAATGATTGTATAGCCACTTTGCTTTTCTTTAAATTATATGTCGGACAGGAAGAGGAAAGATGAATATTATTCTTTAAGAGAAATACTATCTCAAACATAGGATTAAAATTTGGGGTACTTAAAAGTATGGAATAAAAATTATTGTGGTTTGATGGGTGTCTTTCCTTAGGTGCACAGAAGATGGCTGTCCTCACAAGAAGTTCTTTCACACCCGCTTTCTCATGCGCATGAGATTGACTCCAGACTGCTCCAAAATGCTGATCTCCACTTCTTCTGGATATCTGCTGATCTTGCATGATCTCGACTTGACCAAATCTTTAGAAGTTGTCAGTTATCCCATTCTGAGAGCCAGGAGAACCACATCAAATTCTGGCAAGTTTTGGCATTTTGTTAATATTACCCCTGTTGTGCCTATATTGTTCCTAGATCTTGTGAGATAATAGATGGCATTGGATATATAGCATTGTATGCAAGAAGTAAGTTAACTTGAAAAGCCTGTATGGTATATATTGCAAAAGGTTAGTAGGATGAAGGACATGTAGCAATAGCAAGAGCACTTAGACTTATATACTGCTTCACAATGCTTTACAGCTCTGAGTGGTTTTACGGAGTTAGCATATTGCCCCCAACAATCTGGGTCCTCATTATACCAACTTCAGAAGGATGAAAGGCTAAGTCAACCTTGAGCCGGTGAGAATTGAACTGCCAAATTGCTGGCAGCCGGCAGTCAGTAGAAGTAGCCTGCTGTACTGCAATCTAACTACTGTGCCACCACGGCTGCAGTACTGCAGTCTCTAACTATTGCGCCACCATGGCTCTTGTGCTGAGAGTTCATGCATAATTTATCTATTATCTTGCATACACTAAATTTATGGCTGCATTTGTACACCATAGTAAATTAATTTCAGTGTATGAATTTAGCCTCTGCTAATTTTGAATGCATTGTTTTATTGCATCTTTGTGTGTATTTTTAGCTGAATTAGTTGCCATAGGGTGACTAAAACATTTGAGAAATAAACTGCATAAGCATTATTTGTCTTAGAATAAACTACCATCTCATGTTCATACATGTTAATCAATTTTGATGGAGCCACTTATGGTTTGCCTCTTTTTATGAAGAGCTGGTAGTGCTTTGAATGGCGTGTGAACTACCGTGATGCCTATTCTTTTTGTGACTTTTTGTGCTCAGTGGAACCAGCCTAATGTTTTTGCATGGTAGCTTTTTCTGGAAGAATGTCAGTTAGGGGTGTTGCCTTATGGGTATGATCTGCTGTTTCTGATCTTGAAATAACAAGATTAACTTTCAGGAGGATGAGATTCCAAGGAAAATAATCTGTAAGCTATTAATTTCTAAATCTTTGCAATACTTCTTAGAAATAAGCAACCAAATGATATCTAACACAAGGAAAGTTCTTAAAAATCAAGAACGATATTCTTGATCTTTAATGGAGCACCACTTTGCAAAGAGTTTCAAAGCCATGAAATTAATAAATTAGGAGAGGTATCTAACACTGTTTTTGTGTTTCATGTCACCTCATCTTGCTTTTCCATTCTCAGATCTGGCATCCGTCACTTCACCTGGTCCTAGAAGTGCTGAATCACCAGGACACCAAGGAGATTCAGGCCCACGTACTGAGAAACATACAGTACGAGTAACCCAACGAGAAGGTATGTAAAACAAGTAAATGACTAATTGCAAAATCTGAGCCTCTTCTATATGGCAAGGACTTATAGTACAGTGTTCTTTCCTATTGGACAAGGAGGGAACTAAAAATGGTGTTAATTGTAGTGATGCCATTTTGTTCCCTTAGGTGGTTCTCCACGTAATAGTCTTGAGGTTTTAACCCCAGAGGTTCCTGGTGAGAGGGATCGGGGAAACTGCATTACATCACTGCAGCTCCATCCCAAAGGATGGGCGACACTTCTTCGATGTTCAAGTAACACTGATGATCAGGAGGTAAAAATAGGGTGATAATAATGGTGCATATGTATGTTGATCATGTTCTTGCAAAAAAACCTGGAGGTCTTTTGTCTATTAATTAAATAGAAGTGAACTGTCACTCCATTGATAAAATTAGAAATACAAAACAAATGTGGCAGCAATGTGTATAGTTGTAATCTTGAGTTGCGGTGTTTGCTTCATTTGGATCATTTGAATGATGTAAACTAAGCTTGGCTGAAAACAACGGAGTTGAACATCTGGTTCATTATTTTGCTTCATTCTCATCATCTTTCAAGGTGATGTCATGTTCTCCTTTGTGAAAATGACTGAAAGACATGGAGAAAATCATATTCTCAATTTGTTTTTGTTCCAATAATTCAAGATGGAGATAGACAAAAGGAAATACAAATGTGTAATGAATTGAGTATAATTTTACAGACATAAAGGTAGTCCTCAACTTACAACCACAGTTCAGCCCAAAATTTATGTTGCTAAGTGAAACAGTTATTAAGTGAGTTGTGTCCCATTTTACAACTTTTCTCGGTTGTTAAATGAATCTTTGCAGTTGTTAAGTTAGTAACACAGTTGTTAAGTGAATTTGGCTTCACCATTGACTTTGTTTGTCAGAAGGTCACCAAAGGTGATCTAATGACTCCAGACTGTTGCAACTATTAAAAGTCAGTTGCCAAGCATCTGAATTTTGATCGTGACCATGGGGATGCTGCAGGAGTCATGTGTAAACAACAGTGCTGTTGTAATTGTGAACTGTCACTAAATGAACTGTTGTAAGTTGAAGGCTGTGTATCAGAGCCCAATAGCTTAGTTGGCTTGAAAGGGGATTAGAAAATTCTCAAATGACAAGGTTTTATATTAACTCAATAGTTAAAAAGAAATGTCTCTGTTCGTAAATCATATTTTTCTGAAGACTTCCCTTACTACATTTAGGCACTTGTTTAGTCATTAAGAAAATGCTGAACTCAATAACGTCTAACCATAGTTTACAAAGCATTGCTATTGCTTATGCCCATGTAATTAACTATAACATGACATTGTGCAATGTTATACTGAATGAGTCTAAACAGCAGCTGGTAACCAATCTTGGCTAATTTAGAGAGGGTTTAGAATGGTGATGTCTATTTAATATTTAAATGTGAGACAACAGGGAAGCACTAGTACACTATCCATATTGTTACACGAAAGCCTTCATGAAATAGAGAGAGAGATTTATGCAGTATCTATGTTGATATAACATTAAATGTTATTTCTCCCCTACTTTCTGTAGTGGACCTGTGTTTATGAATTCCAAGAAGGAGCACCAGTGCGGCCAGTTTCCCCTCGCTGTTCCCTCAGATTGACTCATTGCATCGAAGAAGCCAATGTAGGCCAGGGCTATATTAAAGAACTCTGTTTCAGCCCAGATGGTCGAATGATCTCCTCCCCACATGGCTATGGAATCCGTTTGTTGGGATTTGACACCCAGTGCAGCGAACTGATTGACTGCTTGCCCAAAGAAGCTGCCCCCTTGCAGGAGATCCGCTCACTCTACTCGCATGGCGATGTGGTTCTGACTACCAAGTTCTCTCCAACACATTGTCAGATTGCCTCTGGGTGCCTTAGTGGTCGTGTTTCTTTATATCAGCCAAAGTTCTAGGCTCCCCTTGCCTTCAAAGGAACATCTCTGTGTTTTTTTAATTACTTCAGTTTAGTTGGAGTGTTTGCTTTTTTAAACAAGTCTTGTAAATTTGGACAAGTACAGAGTTAATATTGGACTTAAAACTGATCCCAAGTCCAGTCCTTTATGTGTGCTGTGACTGAATTTGCACATTAGAACTTTTGTGTACACTATATCTCTCCACTCCTGATAATTCCATCCGTATTTAGAGGTAGCTTGGTAGCACTTGTAAACCTTGTTTTTTCTGTGTGTCTCTTTGTGCAAGATGTTGGATGGGCTTGAAAGGAGGGAAAACAACCAGCTAAAACCTGTCTGCTGCTTTGTATCAAAGGAGTGGAGATTAGCTCACTTTGATTCTTTGATTTCTGGATTTTGCTGTGTATTTTTTCCTAAGTAATAGAGCACTTTCTTGCACATTAGACTAAGTATAGCCAGCATTTACATTATTATTTTTGTGAACAACTAAATAGACTGTTATCGTTACTTTTTTGTATTTTTCTGCTGTGGTTCAGTTTGTAGGCTGGTACTCTTTAAGAACTGTGCAGTGTTATCACTCTGTGCTCCCACACACAAACCTCTCTCATCTAGGCCCCTCCATGACTTGCTGGAGAAAGTTTATTGAACTGAATAACAACATTTTTTCTTTCACAAATCTCTATTAAAGGAACATCTGTTAAGTTATTGGACATAGATTGGAGAATGGAGTATGAGCCCAACCATATATATATATATATTTACAATCCAGCAGGAAACTACGCCACAAACCTCAGTGAAGTAAGCAGCAGCTTGTAAGCAAACAAACCATGGTGGATCTTTAAGCTTCTGTTCATTTAAAAGAAAGAGGCTGGTGCTGGGGAACATCCTGAGGCTTTGGGTCCTTTCTCGTGATGGGTTTCATCGCAACAAAGGACTTTGAAATTGAATAAAAATTTTTTTTCAATATCAGTTTTTAAATGAATGCTGCTCAGTGCTGCAGTTATGTTTGCAACCTGATTAAGGCTAGTTGGCTTTTGATGTGCCTTGCAAGCCTCCACAGGTAAGCTATAGCATGTGAAAAATAAATCCTTAGTGTGCACACCTTAGACCATATGTTGCAAGATTTTGTGTGTGTGTGTGTGTGTGTGTGTGTGTGTGTGTGTGTGTATATATATANCCGTCCCTTTGGAACGAACTCCCCATGGAGATTCGTACCCTCACCATCCTCCAGACCTTCCGCGTCGCCATTAAGTCCTGGCTGTCCCGACAGGCCTGGGGCTAAAGATTTCAACCCCACTCGAATTGTATGACTGTTGTGTTTTTAATGATGTATTGTTCTTATGTAATGACTTGTTTGTCCTCCCTCCCCTTGAGTTGTGAGCCGCCCTGAGTCCCCCCAGGGAAAAGGGCGGCATACAAATAAAGCATCTCTCAATCTCTCAATCTCTCTCAAGAGACTATCTCCTCCCAACTATACTTGCTAAGATTATCAGGATAGAAAGTGTTGAGTAACGTTTTCCTTGGGCTTCTTCTCTTGAATATCTTTGTCCTTTCTCCTGAGGACTTTCTAGAACAGGGGTCTCCAACTTGGCGACTTTAAGCCTGGAGGACTTCAACTCCCAGAATTCTGCCCTCCGGGATTGGGCGGACTATAAATCTAACAAATTGAATTGAATTGAAGCTTAAAGTCGCCAAGGTTGGAGACCCCTGTTCTAGAGAAGCACTTCTAATTGTTTCACCTGCCTGAATCCAGCTGCCCCTCTGCCGCTGGACTCTGGGAGCTTCCAGAGAATATTCCAACATGTCTTAACATCTTCCCTCGTGGTTCAGAAGGGGGGAAAAGTGGTTAGGATTGTGTTCTGCTTTCTTTTTGGAAAGGAATTAAAATACTCCTGGAAGCATTGCAACAACCTAAGGAGAGAGGGATGGCTGCTGGAGTTATTATGGATTAAAGTAACCCAGCCAGCTGTGAAGGAGGAAGCCGTAATATTTTTCATGAAGTGAAGCAGTCATAAATCCACCCCTCTGCAAAATGAATTGTTAGAAAAATTAAAATAATGTGGATTTTTTTTGCAACCGCATAGGACTTCCAAGTATGCCGTTACATAACATGCTTTAAATCTCCCGAAGTGAAGGTTGTTTCAACCCTGCCATCTGGCGGCCAAAAAAAGGACTTTCACTTCCTGATGAAAAAACAGTAAACTCTGAATATTATTAAGTAGTTAACCTAGATTCAATTTTTTTTTCCTTGAGAAAGGAGAAAATCTGAAAATAGACTTTAAAATAAATATGACTAGGTTATTTCAACAGCGATGGGGGAATCTGTTTGAAGCCTCACTCTGCTGTGCTAACATTTACGTTGTCCCTTGTAAAATCAGGAAAATTCTACTTTCCATTCTTTTGCTTAAGAAGCTCTTGGTGAGCTCAGCAGAAGGTTTGAGTCCTGCATGAAGTAGGGCTCAAGATCCACATCTAATGTCTTGCCAAATTCAAAATTACTTATAAAGCCCTGCATGGCATCGGACCTGGGTACCTGAGAGACCGCCTCCTGCCAATTACCTCCCAAAGACCGATTCGATCGCACAGGCTTGGCCTTCTCCGGGTTCCATCTGCCAGCCAATGTCAGCTGGCGACTCCCCGGGAGAGAGCCTTCTCTGTTGCTGCCCCGGCCCTCTGGAACGAGCTCCCCGTGGAGATCTGGACACTTACTACCCTCCTAGCCTTCCGTAAAGCTACTAAGTCCTGGCTGTTCCTGCAGGCTGGGGGCTGTTGAAATACCCAGCCCCACTTCAATTGTGAATGTTGTGTATTTTAATTTGTTGTATCGTCTTATTTATCCCCTTTACCTGTTTTATTGTAAGCCGCCCGGAGTCCTTTGAGAGTGGGCGGCATACAAAACTAATAAAACAAACAAA